TGTGCTCAGGACTGCCACCTAGTGGTGCTCAGGGGACCACATACGGTGCCTGGGATTGAACCATGCAGCCAAAGTGGCCCCATGCAAGGCAAGTGCCTTAACTCCTGTATTATCTCTCAGCCCAGAAATGCTAAACCTTTACGAAATAAAGAAGAAATGAAATATTCCAAGTGTGCAAGAGGAAAGTTAGTGAGGTAAGGGCGACATAAGAAATGGAACGCACATTATTTTTTGTTTTGTGTTTTGGCCCACACCCAGCCATGCCTCTGGCTGTGTTCAGGGGGTCACTCAGCACTCAGGGAACATATTCAGTGCCAGAGATCAAACTGGATCCACTACATGCAAGGCAAGTGCCTTAAGCTCTGAACTATGTCTTCTGCTCAGAACTTATACTTTATTTTTGAAATAATTTATGGCAAATTAAAGCTTATACCAAATTTTTAGTCCTACAGAAAGTATCCCTGATTTATGAAGCATGTTTTCATATTTACTGGTTATATACTGTGAGTATATGGTAGGTTTCCATGTATATGAAAGGAACACAAATACATATATAAGGACCTTATAATTTGATTTTAAACATGTACTCTGTTCCATGACCTAGTAATCGTACTATAAACCAAATCATACCACAAAACTATAATAGGAGTCAGAGAGATAGTACAGTGGGTAAGGCACTTGCCTTGCATTGTCCAACTCAAGTCTGATCCCGGGCCCTGGAGTGACACTGAAGTGGGGAGCCGTATTGCCTTGTATGCAGCTGACCTGGATTCAATACCAGGCACCACATTCTGTCCTGCAACCACTGACAGGAGTTATCCCTGGTCACAAAACCAGGTGACAAAGTACAAGTCACAGAGTACAGCTGGGTGTGGTCGAAAACAACAACAACAAAAACAGTTTTTTATAGTCCCAAAGAGACCTCCATCATTTCAGAACAGTAAGGAAAGCTCAACCTAACCACTCAGTAAAGAATACTGGGAAAATGGGGTCTCCACATTCCAGACCTGTACACACATTGTGGGTGTACCAAGGAGCTAAATGCTAAAAAGTAAAGAAAACCTAGGACATTAATTACTTTTGGGATGAGGAAGGTCTTTATTCTAGAGAAGCAGGAGAGGGATATGGACCACATCTGTGGGTGCTCAGAGGCGACTTCTAGCAGTGCTTGGGGAAACATATGGGCCAATGGTTACCTTAACCCCTGTATTCTCTCTGTGGCCCTGAAGGGGGTCTTAACACACAAAACACAGAAGCCATGTGAAAAATATTGATGAATTTGAAATGACAATTTAAAATGTTTGTTCAATGAGGGGCCAGAGAGATAGTACAGCAGATAGGGCATTTGCCTTGCATGTGGCCGACCTGGGATAGATCCCGGCAGCCCATGTGGCCCCCCGAGCACCATCAGGAGTAATTCTTGAGTGCAGAGCCAGGAGTAACCCCTGAGCATCACTGGTTGTGGCTCAAAAAATAAAGAAAACCCAAAATTGTTCATTCATTGAATAAAGAAGATAAGTGATGTAGTGAAAGAAAATACTTGGAACATACACAACAGGGTAAGGAGTGAATGATATTAAAGAACACCTTCAGAGCAGTAAGAAAAATAAATAGCTCAGTAGAAATAGGCAAAAACAAAATTCACAATTCACAGGAAAAAAAGAAATGGCTAAAGAGATCTTTCAACTCTTCTAATATAATAGCAACAGCTAGTACATAATGCTGACCACACTGGGTAGTTTTCCAAGTGCTTTGGATAACAATTCATTTAGTCTTCATACCCACCCTATGAGATGGGTATTACTTATTAGTGGTGCTGGGATGAACACAGAACCTCAGACATGCAAGTCCAGATACTACTGGTTTTGGTGGTGGTGGGGCACACCATGTAGTGCCTGGGGGCTACTCATGGAGGTATGTAGGAGAAAAGACAGTGCCAGAGTGGCTTTCACACGCAAAACATATGTCCTAGCCTTTAAGTTATCTCCCCAGCAACCCTTGTCCCCTTTTTTCAAAATCCCCATTTACAGATGAGAAAATTGAGGAAGAAACTGAGTGAGTTGCTCAGAGATACGCAGGGCTGGGGAATTCCAACACAGGTTGTGTGGCTCTACGTCCTATCTTAATTATCTCTTAATGCTATGTCACCTCTCCAGGGATCTAGGACCCAGGAAACACAAATTCAAACACCATCATTTGTGGGCTGCAGAGGCAGTACAGTACGTAAAGCATCTGCCTTGCATGCAGTTAACCAGGTTACCTGTCACCTGTCACCACATACGGTTCAGGAGTGTTTCCTGAGCTCGGAGTCAGAAGCAAACCCCGAGCACTGCTGGGTGTGGCTGCCTAATGCCCCAAAACTGGGACCTTGGGTTGGGTTGGATAGATAGAATACAGTGGGTAAAGCACTTGCCTTGTATACTGCCTGAGTTCAACTGACCTGAGTTCAATTCCCCCTGGACCTGATCTCTGAGGGAAGAGGAGGAAGCCCTTTGCATTAGGAGAACATGACCCCTCGAACCCTTAAAACCAAACAACAACAAAAAGTCCCCCAACAAAACTCTATCATTTGGGCCAGGGATATGGCTCACTGGTACAGCACATGTATAATTTCTGAATTTGATCCCTAGCACCAAAGCAAAACGAAAACCACATCGTTTGTTGTCCCAATTGACCAAAATTAAAGACTGACCGAGTCCCTCTGGAAAATGAGTATTGCTAACGCCGCTGCTGGTGGAACGAACAGTACTTTCTCTTAGTAGGAAAAAACTCTTCTTACAGAAACATACGCTGAAAGGAAGTTCAAAAAACAACAGGAAGTCTCTATTAAAACGTTAATCTTACTTTTTTCCTGAAACCCTAAAATCCAAAGATTCCTTTCCGTTTCTCCCTCAATCCTCTGATGCCAATAAAGACCACCTGAGGAAGGACATTCCACCTCACCAAGCTGTTTACGCTGCTGCTTCCCATGTGATTTAACCAGGTCGAGGTTAACCTTCCCCTGAAAGCCTGTTTCTTAACACACAAAAACACGTGGAATGAACTCCCTTCCAGGGGGCAGACACATTCTATTCCTACTCTTTTCCATATTTGTCCCTCTGCTTCTTTCTCAGAGGATTTAAGGCGGAAGGTGAGAGAAACTCAAACTTTCCCCTTCTGCTGTTCAAAATTCATTATTAAGACCCATCCACGTTTTCCACCCGAAGTTAACTCCAATGGATGGAAAGGTTGCCTCTGAAGTCCGTCAATTCTCCAGTCTGCAGTTCACTGTCTATAGAACATGCTAAATAACAACATGAATTACTTGCAGGAAAAATAAATGCCATGTCACAGCTTTTCTAACACCTGTCACCCTAAAATTCATAACCCCCTTTGAAAGAGGGGCATGGCGCTAAAGAAGAGGCGTTACTCTCCGCCACTACAGAGACATACCTATCTGTGCTAAGGGATCACTCCCAGTGGTGCTGGGGGCGGGGGTACCATATGGGGTGCCGGGTACCAGGCCAGCCGCGTGCAAGGCAAGCGCCCTCCCCCCTGTACTGTCTCTCCCACCCCGACATACTTCCAAGTTTGTCCAGAATGGCAACACACAATCAGGATAACAACTTCAGCGTTTTAGAGAGCACAGCAGGTCAGCTTCCCTTTGGAACAATTTCCTTCATTTTCATCCAAGAACTCCTGCAACTTTTTTTTTTTTTTTGCAAGTGTGCGCAAACTTGACTGCCAGGCAGTTCCTGATGATAACAAAGCCACCCCAAGCTGCCAGGGAGTCCGAGGTCCAGCACTTGCCCTGCATGGGTCAGGCCCTTGAGTGTGGCTTCCATTCCCCGCACAGCCACACGGAAGAATGGAAGAGGGTGGTGGTGGTAAAAACAAAAAACAAAAAACAAAAAAAAACCAACTTTACAAACAAACCTCAAAGCTTGCAAGGGTGCAAGCGGAGCGGCCCAGCCCACAGAGTCATCATCCTGACCCTCTGGGGCAGCGGCCCGAAATCAGCGACGACCCCCCAGACCCCAGAGGGGAACTGAAGACTGGCCTAGAGTTGGCGCTGGAGGAGAGAGATGAAGGCCGGCGGGGCAACGCGGCATCCCCAGCCCGGCCCGATCGCGGGTACCCAGCGCCCCACTGCACTCAGACACGCTCCAACACCACTCTGGAGGGGCTGCGCCGGCGGGACCCAGACCCCCCACCCCGGGAGCCCGAGGCAAGAATTAGGGGGGAGGGGTCCCTCTAACCCCAGCCTGAGCGTGTCCGTCCCCCTCCACACACGTGATCCAACCACTGCTGGACAGCTCCAGCGCCCACCCCGACCCCTGGGGGGCGGCGCCCGCTCCAGCTGGGGGTCTAGCCGCCGCACAGACCCCCACCCCCATCGCGGGGCGCCGAGCCGCCGTCCGAGGGGCCGCAGGGCCGGGCGCAGCCTCGACTTCTCCCTCCCGGGCCCGAGCCACAAGTGAGGCGGCGAAGTTGTGCAAAGACGCCGCCGGCGGGGGTGGGGTGGGGGGTGCGGCGCGGGAACCCCGCGGAGTGGGGCACAGACTCCAGGGGGTGGGGTCGGGTGGGGGTGGGGGGTCCCACGCCAGGCCCCTCGGCCCGAGTCACACTTTCCCCCGGCTGTCCCCTCCCCGGCGGGGGGCGCGCCCGGCGGCTCTGCGGCCCCGCGGCCTGGGGCCGGCACCGGGACCCCGCCGGCCCTCCCCGCCCACGCCCGTTCCCACGCCCAGCGCCCCCCCTCGGGGCTCCTCAGCCCGCGCCCCCCCGCCCCCCCGGGGCGCCCTTCAACGTCCCCTCCCCGCCCCCGCCCCCCCCCCGGCCAGGATGCCCCCTGCCCCGCCGCCTCCGCCGGGGCACCGGCCGCCGTTCCCCCTCGCCCCCCCGCGCCCCGCGTCCCCCGGGTGCCCCCTCCCCACCCCCGGCCCCGGCGTGGGCCTCGGGGCGCGGCCTCCTCCTCGCCCCCCGCCCCCCGGCCCCGCCCCGCCCCGCGCCCCGGCGGATACAGTTTGAAGCCCCTCAGGATCTCCCTGGCCCGCTCGTCCTTGGCTGACATGATGCGGCGGCCGCCGCCCGCGGCTGGTCCCTCGCTGGCCCGGCGGAGCCTCGCGGACGGTGTCCCGGCGCCGAGGACCGAGCCGCAGTCCCGGCGTGGAGACCTCGGGCGACGCGCGGCAGCGGCCAGACCCGAACCGGCCTCTCCCTCGCCTCAGCTCCCGCTCCCGGTCGCTTCTCCTTCCCCTCCGCCGCCGAGCGCCCGCCTCCGCGCCAATGGCGAGCGCGCGCTGGCGATTGGCGTCCCGCTCGGCCAATCGGAGCGCCCAGCGGCATCGCTAGGGGGAACGGGAGCGTCAGTGGGAAGCGCCGCCCTCCCCGGGAAGTCCCGTAGGACTCGTCTCTCCTCCCGATGCGGTTGCCCCTAGAGTTCGGCCCAGCGGGGCTCGCTTGCAGACGTGCGGAGGCTCGAGGGGCCGGCCGCCGCCGCCGCTGGCACTGCCGGGCTCCGGGGCGACGGCGGGGGCGGGGGGGGGGTGCGCGGGACGACGAGGCGGGGACTACATTTCCCAGCATCCCCCGGGGCGCGCCCCCGCCCTCCCCCCGTCCCCCGGGAACCACAGATCCCGGCGCGCACCAGAAACCCGTGGACTACAAATCCCAATGTTCCTGCTCACTAGTCCCCAGTAACTTAGACTTCGGGGTGCGCAAATTCGTACACCCGACTGCGGCTCTGGCGGTTGTCGCCGTCCCGCGACCTGAAACCCGACGGGAAGCCCCTCTTCAACCCTCCAAGGAAGATGACAACCCACAGAGAGGTAATTTCTGTTTACCAGGAACTCCGAAATCGCCCGCAAATCATGGTAGGCTGCCAGCAACAAGCGAAAAGCGTTGATGAAATCATGAAAATAATGTCACCAAATTAGCTACCGTCCTCATTTGTTAGCCTGGGGCGGCTTGCATGCGTTTGGGTTTTTGTTTTTTTTTTTTAGGAATTTCTGGGAGTGCTGTTGAGTTGGACTAGGAAGAGAATTCGATTTGTGGATTTGGAATGTCCATAGAGGAAAGTAGAGAATTGGCTAATCCAACCCTGTTCTGCCTAAGGAGGAGACTGAGAACCCACGGAGGTCGGGGATTATCTACGGGTCACAGCAAGTTGGGGCAGAGTTAGAATTGGGCGCTGATTCCCTTTCCCACCCGCAGTTGGGGCTCACTGGAATCCATCAAGGGGGCGATGTTTTTAGCAGCTCAGGAGATTGTCAGTCTCCTTGGTGAAGGCTTTTTTCATCTAGGTCAACACGCCCAGGTCAAGCATTTGGTGCATTTCCTGCAAGTGGAGGAGTGTAATGTTTATTCCTTACATCTGTAAGGTAGGACGTGGTGTTTGATTTGTTCTTTGTTGCTCACTGTGACACAGTGACGTTTCATGTGATCTCGGGAAGTGGGTAGAATCGTAGCTTAAATCCAGATCTCTGGATCGCTGCCTTTCCTGCCCTGTCCCCCCTTTTACTCACTTGGCCCCCCACCCAGTTTTCCCCTTCAATGTTATTCAGCAATTAGCAGGATTCAGCTGTTCGTTATTTTTGCCAGGAGCTCTGTGGGTAAAAGGCAAGATCAGGGCCGAAGGAAGATAACCATCTAGTTAGGGAGATGAGGCTGCACTGGCCTGTGGTAAGGGGTGGGGAAAAAATGACATCAGCATGTTCTTTGATGGGTAGATTTAAGCCAGATGCAGCTCCTGATAGAGAGGGCAGTTAGATGTAGGATTGTTTTATTTGGTTTTGGTTTTTGGGCCATACCCAAGGGTGCAGCGTAGGGTTGGGGGTTACTCCTGGCTCTGTACTCCAGAATTCAACTGGAGTCAGTTTCATGCAATGTTAGTGCCTTACCTCTATACTGTGTCTCCAGTCCCAGGATTGTTTTCTTTTTAAAATTTGGTTACTGGGTAAATATGCTTACAAGAAGCACATTTTTTCCCCCTTTTATTTGGGTCACACCTGGCTGTGCCCAGGGGTTACTCCTGGCTCTGCACTCAGGAATTACTCCTGGTGGTGCTGGGGACTATATGGGATGCCAGGGATTGAACCCGGGTCGGTCAAGTGACAAAGCAAGTGCTCTACCCACTGTACTATTGCTCCAGTCCCAGTGGTGAGTGTTGCTGCATATTTCTTTCCGTGAACTTGTCGCATCTGTTTTAGAAGAGGAGTTGCCGTCTGGTGTGCATTTGATCAGCAGTAGGGGATAATGCCAGGGCTCCGAGATGGCTGTGCCAATTTTCACCTTTACAGCATACTCAGTCTTTTTCATTTTAGCCATTGTGCGTTTTCCTGTTCTAGTTTTATTCCCCCCCTCTTCTTAGTTTCATGACTGTGATATGTTTTAGGGGTACAGTTTCATACCTCTTCGAAGTTGGAAGCTTTCAGTAGGAACATTGGCCTATGTAGCCATTTTCTGGGGTTCCTACCTGGTGTGTAGTTTCCAAGACCCTCGCTGACATGAGTCCAGGTCTAAAGGCCTCATTTATGGCCCCTGAGCTCAGGTTCCCGCCATTCTGGGTTTTATTTATGCATCAGCACATGCTGTGGTGCTGGTGTCCGACTTTCTCTTCTTCCTCTTACCTAGAAGATGCTTGTTTTTTCTTTCCTGATCTACTTTGGCTTCTGCTTCCAACACATTGCCATCTCTTTCCTAGCATTTAATACGCAAGAATCTCGTGTGTGTGTGTGTGTGTGTGTGTGTGTGTGTGTGTTTTGGGGCCACACCCAGAGGTGCTCAGGGCTTACTCCTGACTCTGTGCTCAGGGATCATTCTTGGTGGGCTTGGAGCCATATGGGATGCCAGGGATCGAACCTGGGTTGGTCGCATGCAAGGCAAGTGCCCTACCTCCTATACTATCTCTCCAGTTCCAGGAACCTCACTTTTGTGAGGACATAATATGTGATTTAAAAAAAAAAAACACCCTTCTCTTTCTGTTGGTCTTGGAAATTACACACACTTGGTTGTGGTGTTTCCCGGGGTCACACAGTTGTGGATTGAGCTGGAATCATGAGCAACTATGCTGTAGTGAATGTGCTTGGTATTCGGGGCAGTGCCAGGGATCAGATTCTTGGCCTTGTGCCTATTAGGTACTCACTCTACCAAGGGCCATCCCTGGCTTGCTGAAGAAAATTTTTGTTGTTGTTTTAGAAGCCGCCTGACTGCTCAAGGCTCATGCCTGGTTTTGCTCTCAGGGTGCCTGCTGGGCAGGGCTGGGGGGATTTTATGTGATGCTGGAGATCAAATCTGGGTCGGCTGGGTGCAAGGGAGAGGCAGGTGCCTTCTCCGCTGTCTTTTCTGTTCTGCCCCTAAAGAAATTTTTGGGGGAGTGTTTGCACCACTCCTGCCTATGATTGGAGTCACTCTGGGCAGTGCGAAGCAGGACCACGTGGTACTGGGGATTAAACTTGGGCCTCCTGTATTGCGTTTAATTCATTGTGCTCTCTCCAGCCCAGACAGATTTTAAACTAATGAATGGGTTGGTTAGTCTGATTTCTACATTCTTAGGCACAAAAAGCAAATAGGACTCTTTCCCTGGCCTTCAAGAGCGGCAAAATATTTTATTATTTTGTTTTATTTTTGGGTCACACCCAGAAGTGCTCAGGGGTTACTCCTGGCTCAGCACTCAGGAATGATTCCTGGCGGTGCTTGGGGGATCCTATGGGATGCTGGGAATCGAACCCGGGTTGGCTACGCGCAAGGCAAACGCCCTACCTGCTGTGCTATTGCTCTAACGCCTGCAAAATATTTTAAAGGGATCAATTTCCTAGCTGTCTTACAGGGTGAAAAGTACTAAAACCAACACCACCAATGTCATTTGGTCATAGAACCATTATTGGCTCCCCACTTATTTAAAAAACAAACAAATGAATAAAACAACAAAACCTTTTGTATAAGACCAGCGGTGACACAGGGAAACTTTGGTAGTGGAGTGTGCGGGTAATTTTGAACATTGGTACCATAAGCTTAAACTCTCTTGTAACTTCCTAAACAATATTTAAAACAATGGCAAAAAACTTGGGCCCGAGGGATCCCAGTGGGGAAGGCCTTTGCCTTGCACTGGACAGACCAGGTTTCAACTCTCAGCGCCGCATATGGCCATCTGAGCACTAACAGGAGTGTTCTGTGAGCAGAGAGCCAGAAATAACATCTGAACACTACTGGGTGTGGCCGAGACACATTTTTTCTCTTTATAAAGGAAAAAAACAAAAAAAGAAGAACAAGAGTAGAGGCTGGAGAGGGTCAGATCCTTGGCCTTGCTAACAGTTGACCCAGGTTTGATCCTGGGTATAGCATATGGTCGCTGAGCCCCACCAGTCCTGAGGAGCACTGCCAGGCGTGGCCCCCAAACCCAAACAAATACAAGAACAACAACCTTCCCTCCAGCCCCAAAACTTGTAAATAGAAACCAAAAACGGGGTATTTGGCTTCAGAGAGCCTGGGTTCCCAAGTGGATTCTGCTTTTTTGGGGTAGAGTGAATCCACCTGGAAATAATGTTACAGGCCATTGACTTATCATGAGGAACCCCCAGGACGGTGGGAAGCGCCTGGTGTGGGTCAAATGCTCAATATGAAGTAGTCCTGGGGCTGGAATGAGATAGCACAGCGGGTAGGGCGTTTGTCTTGCACGCGGCCAACCCGGGTTCCATTCCCAGCATCCCATAGGGTCCCCTGAGCTACCGCCAGGAGTGATTCCTGAGTGCAGAGCCAGGAGTAACCCCTGTGCATCGCCAGGTGTGACCCAAAAGCAAAAAAATAAGTAAAAATATAAAGTATCCCATAGGGTCTGAGCGATAGTACAGTCGGTAGGGGGGGTTTGCCTTGCATGCGAGGCATGCCTCCCCGAGTTCAATCCCCGGCATCCCATATGGTCCCCCGCGAGCACCACCAGGAGTAACCCCCAGCATCGCTGGGTATGACCCAAAAAAGAAAAAAAAGTAGTTCATAGGCAGGCGCTGTCCCCAGGTCGCCTCCGTGGCCAGAGGGAGCCACAGGATGCCGCTCGGTCCAGGGGTGGACTTCGGCCCGGGATGACGGCGAGGGAGCGGCCCGGGGTACCGCCGGCGCCCGCACAGCGCGTTGCGGGTCCCCGGGGCGCCTCCCGGCAGGGCCTCCTCGGCGGGGGAACCTCGAGCGGGCGGAACCCGAGCGCGGCGGCGGGCGCTTCCGGGGGAGCGGCGGGGGCGCGGGCCGGCGGAGGCAGAAAAGCGGCGGACGCCGGGCCGATCATGGACGCCTGACACCCTGCGGGCAGCGCCGGGAGGCCGAGCCAGCGACGCCCGGGGACGGAGAGGCGACGGGGACAGGTAGGGGCTGGCGCCAGGGCGGGCCCCGCGGGCTCCGGCCGGCCCGATCCGTCCCGGCCCGGTCCGACCGTCCGGCCGCCGCCCGCGGCCCGGCCCGAGCTCGGCCGGCCACGCCGCCCCGCCCCCGCCGGCAGCCGCCGCCGCCGCCGCCGCTGGCCCCGACGTCCACCCGGGCCCGCGGCCGGCGACGATCGCGCGCGCCTTCCCGCTCGCCCCCACGCCCCTGGCCGCCGCGTGGGCCCGGGTTCGTTTTCGATTCGGTTGCATTGAAATTGGGCCCCGCGCGGCGAGCCCCCTCCGGACCGGGTCCCGGCGGCCCCTTGTCGCGAGTGTCCGCCGGGGGCGGATCTCATCCCTCGGCTGCCCAGGACCCCTGCGTCCTCCCTCCCGCCTCCCACCCGGCCGCCCCCTCCCCCCGGCGCGACCCTTGGTTCCGTGGCGGCCCACGGGACCTGTTTGCAGCCGAGACCCTCGCGGTTTCTCCCGTGCTCCGAACCGCCCTCCCGGGCGCGGGTCTCCGCATGCAGCGGCACCTGCGCCCGATGCCTTGGCTCGGAATCGCGCTCCGCTTCTCTCTACCTCGCCCCGATTGATTTATGGGGGAGGGGGGTGTGTGGGGAGTGGGTGTGTATGGGGGGGGCTGGGTCACATCCAGCGGTGCTCAGGGATCACGCCTGCCAGTGCTCGAGGAGACAGTCAGCGGTGTCAGGGAGCTAACCCGGGTCCCTACAAAAGCATCTGGCGCACTGCTATTCTGCCCCTTTGCCCCGATGCTCATCATCCTTGGAGAAGGAGTTTCCCCTTAGGACCCCCGCGGATGTTCACAATGCAAGGGCAAGGGCGCTCTGGGCCTGCTGTCTGGGGCTGGCTCCCGGACCCCTGCTCAGCTTGGGTTTTTTTTTGTTTGTTTGTTTGTTTGCTTGTTTATGGTTCTGGGCCACACCTCCTGATGCTTAGCCGTTACTCCCGGCAGTGCTCAGGGCCTGATCATATCCGGGATGCCCAGGGACCTACCCTATGGGATGCTGGGGATCAAAACCTGGTCCGCCAAGTGCAAGGCCGTTGCCCTCCCTGCTCTTGGCCACACCGATATCTTTGTTGTGTGCTGGAGATGTCCTGTTTGGTCGTCTCACCTGTCAGTAGGACGCCTGATCAAGGGATTTCCCTCTGAACTCCCTCGGGCAGCAGGTGTCTGAGTTTGAATATGGGTTGCTGCTAGTGTTTCCACATGGTTCTCCCTCTTTTTTTTTTTCCCAGCCTGAATGACTTCTTTGATTAAGTGAGGCCCCTGTCTTTGTCTGCTTTTTGTTTTGGTTGTCTGTCTCTGCTGGGGTGAGATTCGCTGCGGTGACTACCTGGGCTGCCTCAGTGGAAGTCTGTGGATAGGCACATTGTTTCTTTTCTGCCAGTGCCCAGGGGCTATTCTGGGGTGCTGCTGGGGGGCCTACCATGCTGGGGATTGACCCCCTGTCTCCGGCATGCAGAGCCTGCGCTCAGCCTACGGCATTATCTCTCTGACCTAATATCTACTTCTGAACTAGAGTTTCAAGTAGGTGGGTTTATTTACTTTTTTTTTGGTTTTGGGGCCACACCCAGTGATGCTCAATGCATACTCCTTTTTCTTTGTTCAGGAATCCTGCAGGCAGGGTTCAGGGGGGCCATATGAGGTACCAGGGAGTGAACCTGGGTTGTCCACATGCAAGACAAGCACAGAACCCACTGTGCTATCACTCTGGCCCCCTAGAATAGGTGGATTTAAAGCAGCTCGTGAGAAACTCATGGTGTGTTTCTTTATGCCGAGGTGAGGTTTTAGAACTGAGAAGGTTCTCCTATGTGAGAGGGCCAGATGGACCCGAACTCGGTTTATTCATTGTGTTTCAGACCTCACTTGAAGGACAACACTCTTTCTACTCTGGAAGTCTGTGGATAGGCACATTGTTTCTTTTCTGCCAGTGCCCAGGGGCTATTTGACACACAAACTGGTCACAAACTGAATTCCAGCACATTTTTGTTACAAAGTTAAAACTTAAGTGCCTGGGGCCTGCCAGGTGGCACGTGGCTTCTGTGAGGTCCAGAGCTTGATCGCTGGGCCACAATGCACACTCCTTCCTGCCCTACACCGGCAGCCGAAGCCCTGGCGAGTTGCTCCTTTCTTCAGTGTGATGGAAGGTTTTCCTCTTTCCCCTTTGTTATCTGGGGAATTTACTAAGATATGTCTTGGGTTGCTCATGCTGAGTTGTTTTTCTCAGTAGTGGTGTGTGAAAGAGCCACTTCGTTGAGGAGTGAAGGAGCTGGAGCTTCTCTCAAGAGCTGCTCTTCCAAACACTGGGTCCTGGCACTGAACCACTAGGCTGAATCTCTCTGGGAGCGGCCCCTGTAAAATGAACAAGATTCTGATACCTGATCAGCACCAAGTAAGCATCGGTGTTGCAAGGGAGAAGGCTGCATTAAATGCTTTTTCTTTTGAACAGATCTCAAGGCCAGAGAATGGCAGGGGAACAGAAACCCTCAAGTAACCTCCTGGAACAGTTTATTCTACTCGCCAAAGGTACCAGTGGTTCGGCGCTCACCGCTCTCATAAGCCAAGTCCTGGAGGCGCCCGGCGTGTATGTTTTCGGAGAGCTGCTGGAACTGGCCAACGTGCAGGAGGTGAGAGCGCTTCTAAGGAGCTTCTCTGTCGTCTCACTTCCAAAGCTTCTGTGATTCTCTGGATTACCAAGGAATTTCAGGGTCCTCGGGCTGTGGGCCCGTGAGCATCCTCTTGTTGAAAGGATGGAGATTGGTGGGCCGGAGGGGAGAGCAAGGATGAAGCCCGGGGCTTTGTCTCGGCAGTATTTTCATCCAGTTGTGGGAGGAAGGTGAGGGTGGGGATGGGGTGGGGAGATACTGATTCTGGTGCTAATAATTTGAAAGAGGGGAAATCTAGGTGAAGCTGATAAGCTTCAACCTAATATTTAACCAGTTGTTGGTGAGACCTGGGGTATCTGGTTTGAGTGGTTGGACCCTCCTGGGAAGGCCTGGTGAAGTGTGATTAGACCTGTCATGTAGACTATGTCTCTTGATTCTTGCGCTCCCCCTTGGAGAGCTTGGTATTTATTGGTTGATTTTATGCTTTTTATCTTGGAGGACTTTGGACACTTTCCCCACGTATTAGTACTTTTGTGTTGATTGATGGCAAGTCTGATGACATCTCTGGGAGTTGAGCTCAGGAGTTCCTGGGGGTCGACTTCTGGACACTCAGCTTTCCCCGACCGCCTGAGCTGGTGCTGGTCCACGTGGGGTTTGACTCTGCAGGGCCACCGTGGGCCGACCTGGGTGGTCCCAGTCGCTCCTGTGTGCCACAGGCCTGTTGGTGTTGGTTGACGTTTGTCGGAGGTGGCCGACTCTTTGTGGGCCGCTGCTTGGCTTCAGGTCACTTGACCGCCTCTCGGCTTCTGCTGGGGCTGCCAGCCTGTTGGAGCACTCACTGCCCATCATCTGCTCACTCCTCTTGGTCCGGAACCCACCCGTTCCGTGACAGCCACTGGAGGTCTGCGGGCCTTCTGTGGAGGCAGAAAGAGCACTTCTGTTGTTCAGGCCTGATTCTTGTTGGTTTCCTGTCAGTGCTGTAGCCTGTGTGCTCCCTGCCTGTGAGGGCTGTTGTTCATCCTCTTGTCTTGGCACTTTTTGTTTGTGTTTGGGCCACATCCAACTGTGCCCAGGGCTTGCTCTCTGCTCCGGGGTCATTCCTGGCAGGCACCGGGGACCATCTGGGGCGCCAGGGCTCGAACCTGGGTCGACTGCATTCAAAGGCAGTGCCCTCCCTGCTGTCCTGTCAAGCCCTCAGCAGCCTGTGGCACAGTGGCTTTCCCTAGAACCTAACTCACTGAGGTTGGGAGACAAAAACAGTTTTAGAAAACTTGGCTCATGAAACAGTGGACTTTTACTTTTTAGAGCAGTTTCAAATTCACAGCAAACGTGGGACCAGAGACAGTGCTGCTACGCCCCTTGCCTCACAGCTGCCCCCTCTCCTGCGTGCTCCTCTCATCAGCATCAGTGACCCCTTCCACCATGGACCTCTGTAGACACGTTGCCCAAGAGCACAGCTTGCCCTCGGCGTGTTCGTTCTGTGGGGTTGGACAAGTGTAGAATGAACTGCATCTATCGTCACGTGGTCTCTCTGCTCGGCTTCTCCCGGTTCCTTCCCTTCGATGGCCGGCAGCTGGGGACCTCTTGACACTGCTAGTTTGGACCTGCCCGCGGGGCCGTGTGGTCGGAATTCGCAGGTCTCCCTGCGGACTGACTCTTCTTTCGCCTGAGGTTGTGCATTTCATTCTTCTCCAGGTCTTTTCCTGGCTTGGTAGGGCGTTGTTTTTCATCAGTAGTAGTTACATCTGACTCGGGGCCCAGGGGTGGATGATGGTGAGAGTCGGGGAGAGCAGCCGGGGCGGGTGTCAGCCAGGGAGGAGGTGGTCCAGCGCTGCGAGTTTCACAGTTGTCCGGAGAAAAGGGCGAGACCGGACGGTCTCTTCCTCCTCGGATTCAGAACCCGAGGTTCCTGGACCCCGGAGAAGGGAGTGTGGGGGCTGAGCGCCAGAGTGCCCCAGGGGTGCTGCGGAAGTCACCTTGCTCCCCTCGCTGTGCTCTCTGCCGTGTGTGGGGATGGGCTAGTTGCCTTTCACTGGTGGCAGTCAGGGAGTTAGGTACTTGGAACTTGTTTTCAAGGTGCTAAAAGGGGATTCTGGTGACTCCTGGTGTCCCCCACGCTCCACCTTTGGGTTTCTGTGTCGTGTCCGCTGAGTGTGGGGAAGCTGGAAGGGGGGAGGGGAGGAAGCGAGAGAATCAGCCCTTGTGGGCTTCGGGAGAGCAGGCGGGGCCCGTTCCCCTTCCCTGAGGCAGTGCTGTCCGTGCAGTGAGGCCTCGACCTTTGCAGGTTCTATTTGGGGCCGTGAGGTCACGGCCTCCTGTCCTGCCGGGCTGCTCCGTGCTGACCTCAGCATTCCCCCAGGCTGCGTGTTGGGCCGAAACCTGAGCCCTGGCTGGCCAGTACCTGGGCCAGCTATTCAGACAAGGTTGCCTGAGTGTCTCTGGGTGGTAGGGCTCCGAGAAAGCCACTCGGCTTTGGCTCTCTGCCGTTCCACGTGTCTGGGGGAAGCGTAGTTCTTCAGTCTGCTCTGTGGCTCGGAGACCAGGGATTCCCGAGACAATTCAGCTTGGCGCCTTAATAATCATCTGTTTTTTCCCAACACTCAGAAATCTGGAAGGGGTCTCGGGGACCAGCTGACACGGCGGCGTAGGGCCCGGCCAGCCCGGCCCCGCTGAGCTGCAGCCTGGCCTCTGACCTGGTGCTTTGTCCCCTCAGCTTGCGGAAGGCGCGAACGCTGCTTATTTGCAGCTGCTGAACCTGTTTGCCTACGGGACATACCCAGACTACATAGGTGAGTTGGTTGAGATCCCCCCAAACCTTACTTTCTCAGAACCCCTTTTCTTGCTGCTGCTGTTCATGGTTTGGGCACTGAGCTCAGGACCCCGAGCACACATGCACACCCCCTGCTCTCTGGGCTGCGACCCGTCCACAAGGACTGTCTTGCTTGGGTCACTGTTGGGGTGTTTCCTCCTCGCGGCCCACTGAGGCTGGGGGTAGAAGCATGGGGCAGAGCGCTGCGTGTCTGGCGGCTGCTCTGCTCACTGCCCTCTCTGACCCCCGTGGGCTGCTCTCTTCCCCGAGGACACCCTGGGGTCACGTTGGTGCTTGCCCGTAAGTGTAGCCCTGCTGTGTTTTCTTGAGGGTGCTTGGAGAGCAGCGGAAGATTCCTGACACATAAAACTACCCATCTATAAAGTGCTCAAGTGTTTTCGGCATCACAGTCCTCACTGTGGAAAGCATTTGGAATATGGGGAAGTCACGCGTGGCCTCGCGTCCTGCTGTCTGCTCCTGCTTGTGATTGTGTAACGCACACGGCTTTGTAGTTTGGCCTCTATGCGTATTTTACGGGCATTCCCCTATGTTTTGAGTCTTGTTTTCGGAGGGGGCTGGCATACCTGGCTGCGCAGGGCTTCCTGCTGGCTCTCTGCTGAGGGATTGTTCCAGGCAGTGCTTGGGTGGCCATAGGTACCGCCAGGGCTGGAACTGGCTTGGCCACGTGCAAGCTCCCGAGTCCCTGTCCTGGCCTTGTGCCTCCCCGTCTTTTTTATTATTATTATTATTATTATTATTGTTTTCTTCTTGGGTCACACCCGGCGATGCACAGGGGTTACTTCTGACTCTGCACTCAGGAATTACTCCTGGCGGTGCTCAGGGAACCATATGGGATCCTGGGAATCGAACCCGGGTTGGCCGCGTGCAAGGCAAATGCCCTACCTGCTGTGCTATCGCTCCAGCCCCCCAGTCTTTATTATTGTTAACATTCTGTTTTCTGATAGACCGTAGGCAATGTAGCACACTTTCACGTAAAAGTTGAAATAGACCGTGGTGACCTAGCCCACTCATGTAAGTCAGGATAGACCGTAGGCGACCTAGTGCATTCACGTAAGTCAGCGCAGGCAGCTTTGATGTGCCTCTTGATTATCAGGAGGCAGGTTCGTTCCCGGCCTCAAAACAGGCTTCCTCGCACCCCAGCGATTTTTGTGGGTGCGCCCAGTCATGTCCAGGATGTCACCGCAGCCTGGTGTGTGTTAGTGGTGGCTTGGGGTCCCTCCTCACTGCTCCCAGCTGCCTCCTCTGGCCACATCTCCTCTCTGCGGCGCTCATACTGGACCGTTTGCTGTTGGCCAGTGTCCCTCAGTGGGGTTTTGCTCCCCGAGCACGTCCTGTGCTCCAGCTCTGCAGAGGTGGCGTCCTGCGCACACGCCGCCCCTGTATTGCAGCTCCGCTTCCTGTGGCTCTTTGTGCGATGAATAACCCCGGTCAGAGGGGGCTGGAGCGATAGGGCATTTGCCTTGCACGCAGCCCGTGACGGCCCAGCAGATTGCCTTCGCTGAGCACAGGCCCTGTGCAGTGAGTAGGGCGTTTGCCTTGCACGCGGCTGACCCGGGTTCAATTCCCAGCATCCCATATGGTCTCCTGAGTACTGTCATGAGTAATTCCTGAGTGCAGAGCCAGGAGTGACTCTGGTGCATCGCCGGGTATGAAAGCAAAAAAAAAAAAAAAAAACCAAAAGACAAAAACCAGAAAAATCCTATAGTGTCCCCGCCCTATACTGCTGGGCTTGCTGCTTCAGAGTCTAGAATCGGGGGCCTTGACTGAGAGGACAGAAATAAAGGGACATGGAACACCCTCAAGGTAGGTGGGCCATGCCTGTAGTCACGCATGATACTTTGCAGCAAAATGTGTGAATGTTCCCAGTCAGGAGAGTCAGAGGACCGGCCTTCATGCTCAGCGGGTATTGCACATGCATGTGCATGTGTATGCGTGCCCATGTGCGTTTGCGTGTGTGCTGGTGCTCACTGTGCCAGCGCTGAAGCAGGTGTCCTCAGCGGCGGCCGTTCTCGGCACCCAGACCCTCCTCGAGCCTCCCCCAGCTCCTCTTCGGTTCTGCCCTCCTGTTCCTTTTGTTCCCTTCCCTGGGACGTGTGTCTTGTGTGTGCCGACATCTGACAGACACATCTCATTGTACGACTGAGGCCATGTCTCAGGCCGTTGAGTTGCACCAGCTCAGTGGTGAGTCCCCTGGGGGCTACGGCACAGCGACCCTGACCAGGCCCCCTTTGCTTGGCCTTGATGCCCCTGTATCACTTGCGACGGTGCCTGGCACAGGGCCTGCGCTCAGGGAAGGGGTGTTCTGATGGGCTGTCATGGGCACGAGCAGCTGGCTGGGCTGCTGCAGGTCTGGCTGCCCGCCTGGCACTGGGCCACCTCACGAGCACGCGGGCTTCTCCAGGTGCCAGGAGGGCCTGTGGCTTCTGCTCGGGGACCTGCGAGTCAGGGCAGCCACGCGATGGGAGATTGGGGGAGGGGGTGGGGTTGGGGGTCTGTGCTCATTCCAGAAATAAATCCTAATTTTTCTGTGTCTTGGTTTTTTTGGTGGGTGGGGCCGAGCAGCCAACAAGGAGAGCCTTCCCGCCCTGAGCACAGCTCAGCAGAACAAGCTGAAACACCTGACCATCGTGAGCCTGGCGTCCAGGATGAAGGTACCGTCCCCAGCCCCGGCCGCGCCCCCCCCCTCCCAGCGGGCCATGGTGTGGGAGCGCCCCGTGACTCCCCGCAGCCCCAGCAGACGTGTCCGTGCATTGTTTCCTTGGCAGTGGACAAAAGAGAAAAGGCTGCCCCAGCCCATGTGTGCCCGGGCTGAGGGTGAGTCAGCCCGTCTCGGCCCTGCCTGCCGCGCGCGGGGCCTCGTGTGGGCCGACCGCTCTGCTGTGCCAAAAGGAGGCTGCTCTTGACTTCCTCTTAAAAGTTAGGTTTTTGGGGTGGCATTGGGTGGGGCCCCTCCCTGTTCTCGCCTGGTTGCCCCTCTGGCCTCTGCCCCATCCTGCAGTGTAGGCGTCAGAGCTGCTCGGGTCCATGTGACGCTGCTGGGCCCCCGAGCCGCAGGGACACCCCAGGTGTTCTGCGGGTTGTGGGGAGCACCTAGTGTCGGGGTTGGCACGAGAGGCACGTGGTCAGCCCTCCGCGGGGTCTGCCTGGCCCAGGCCGCTCTCTCAAGATGCAGTTTCTCGTGCCCTCTGCTGCTCTGTGCCCGAGGCTGTGCCGAGCAGAGGGGTGCGCACTGTGCTCGCCAGAGAGGCTGGTCAGACGCTGCTTCCCTGGGGATTTTCCCAGTGCGTTCTGCGCCTCCTAGGCCATTGACCCAGTTCATGAAACAGCCCTGAGTGCTGGCCCTACTTCATTGAGAAATCTGCAGCCTACTGTTCAGAGGCCCTGTCTAGAATGTACTAAATTGTCGGTAATGGGGCTTTTTGCCCAGTCCCAGCCCTTGAAAAAGTGGGGTTTTTTTTCATTTTTTTTTTGGGGGGGGTCTCTCACCTCTGAGCTCCAGAGGGTCTTTCTGCTTGTGGATGGCCGTTTCAGAGCTGCTGAGACCTTTGTCCCTGGTCTGAGCGCAGATATCTGATTCTTGGCCTGGCCTTTCAGATGGAAGGCCTGTTGCATTGACCCGCTCAGGGCTAACAGAGAATAGAGGCACCTTTCCCTTCCCGTTTGGAGCCTGCCAGGCCAGGCCACGGTGGCCCCTGCGGTTCAGACCTTTGTTCATAGAACGCCATCAGGAGAAAAGCTCCTCTCTCTTTTCACTGAATATCTTCCCCCATTCATTTCTGCAGACTTGGTAGCTTATGTAAATTCCCAGGACACTAGGGAGGGACATTGGAAGATTTGCAGAAAACTGGTGTTTAAATAGTCTCTTGTCTTGGACAAATGTAAAGTGTTGGCACTGCCCAATGAAGTCCGCTTGTTCGGGGAATTGACTCAGTTGCCCATCTAAGCCAGGCGCTATGGGATACCTCTGGGTTGGCAGTGCTGCCCACTGCCTGTAGGAGGCGCTGTTCCCTGTGTTTTTTTTCTAGTTCCTCTGCTGTGCCCCAGTTGAAGTGGCATCTGCAGGTTTGAACAGGCCCAGGGAGTTAGTGTTGAGTGGTGGCGCTGGGCTCGGTGAGAAAGGAGGATATTGTTCGTTTTGTTCCAAGGTGTGGGAGCCAGAACCCTCTGCGGGGCAGGCAGCCGCTTTCTGCTGTGTCTGGCATGGCTGGCGGCTGTGATGAGCTGACGCCCGGGGTAGTCTCTGGACGTCCAGAAGGGGTGGAGTGGCCTCGCCCTTCAGGGAGGGATTCGGGCTGAGAATGTGCTTCCAGGCTGGATGAAGTCTAGGTGAACGCACGCCGAGGGGTCTCTTGGCAGACCCCCAGAGCACACTTGCAGAGCCCCGAGGCGGCCGCGGAGCCCGGCTGGCACCCAGAGCGCGTCCTTCTCCGCAGTGTATCCCATACTCCGTGCTGCTGAAGGACCTGGAGATGCGGAATCTCCGGGAGCTGGAAGACCTCATCATCGAGGCCGTCTACACCGACATCATCCAGGGCAAGCTGGATCAACGGAACCAGCTGCTGGAGGTGGACTTCTGCATCGGCCGGGACATCCGGAAAAAGGATATCAATAATATTGTCAAGACTTTGCACGAATGGTGAGCTTGCGCAGGAGGGTGTCCCGCCCGGCACGCCTGCTGGCATCGGTTGGCGGTGCTCCCCCGGGAGCTGGGGCCTTGGACAGAGAGCGCCTGTGGCTCCGGCCATCCTAGTGCCCGTGTGGGGGGGACGTTCTGGTCTTTGCAGCAGGGTGTACAGTGCCCGGGTTGAAGCGACGTCTGTGGGTTTGAGCAGGCCTAGGGCGTTAGTGTTGGGCAGATGGCGCCGGGCTCTGTGAAAAAGGAGGAGGAGGTTGTTCAGTTTGTTCTAAGGAGTTGGAGCCGGGTCTCAGGACCCTCCCACAGGTGAGCCCAGCCCCAGCCTCCGACAGTGAGGGCAGAGTCAGGAGCAACTCCTGAGCACTGCCGGGTGTGCCCCTAAAACCAGTGTTCAGACTGGCTCCCCGTGTGCCTGCGTAGGGCTCTTCCTGCTGCGAGCACAGGGTCTGTGCTGGGGGGTTTGCCGAGGGCATCCTTCGCAGCAGGATGGCTGGGGCTTTTCAGACCAGATGGCTCTCTGGAGAGGAGGCCTGGGGTCAGAGGATGGCGAGGGTGGTGTTCTGGGCTGGCGCCTGCATCGGCGGTGCTGTGTAAGGATGGCGGCCAGTGTCCCCTGCCCTGGCGGCCGGAGCTGCTGGGAGATCGCAGTGTTGGTAAATCACCAGTGGGAAGTGGAGGCCAGCTGTCCCCACCATGGAAGTGGCCTGTGCCCTGCCCTCCCTGGAGGACCTGGGGTATGTCCCCAGCCGCGGCGCCCGTAGAGATCGGTGCTTCGTTTTGGTGCAGAGTCTGAATGGCAGGGCCAGGAATGCCCTGGGCCACTGAACTCTTCCCTGGCACAGTTTCTGGCTGTCCTTCTTTGTTCTTTGGTGGTACTCGGGGTTCCTGGCTCTGCACTCGGGAATTACTCTTGGGCTTGGGGGATCATATCGGATGCCCAGGATCGAGGCCCTGTGTGAGGCAAGCGTCCTGCCCGCTGTGCTACTGCTCGGGCCCCTTCGGAAGCCCTGCCTTGTGCCTTTGGCTCGTCTCGGGAAACGTGGCCTGGGAATGGACGTGCTGGGCCCCTGCGTGCTGGCATCGGCCAAGGCCTGGGAGTGGAGAGCTGAGGCCGATCTCTCCCCGCAGGTGCGACGGCTGCGAAGCGGTCCTGCTGGGCATTGAGCAGCAGGTCCTGCGCGCCAACCAGTACAAGGAGAGCCACAGCCGGACCCTGCAGCAGGTGGAGGCGGAGGTAGGACGGGCAGCCTGGCCGAGCCTGGTTTGGCTCCTGGCCTTCTTGGCTCTTTGTGACCTGGGTGTGCAGTGATGGGGCCAGCGGGTGGGAGAGCGGAGAACACTCGGTCATGATGGATCCCTGTGGGTCACTGTTGTTCCTCCGTGCTTGGCGACGGGAGCGAGGCAGAAAGTTGGGGAGTGACCAGACGCGGTGCCGTGCAGCAGGCGAGTCCGTGCTCCACGCAGTAGTGCGTGGGGGCGCTTTCTGCCCGCACAGCCCAGCAGGCCTTGCCTTTCCGTTGCTCAAGGGGTTGGACCTCAGCATTTTCACTGAGGGAACTTCGGGGGTTTCCTGTCTTTGACTTACTATGGAACTGCTGTGAGTCGGAGATTGTCCTGAGCTCACGGCACTTGCCTCACGGTGTCTGAACTGACACCGACTGTGCTTGGCACCGAGTCGAATCTGGTGTCAAGTTGGAGTGATCCGTTTCTGTGACGCAGGACCTGTGATGGGAGGCAGGCGTGAGTGGCTCTGTGAGGTGTGGACTCTCCCAGTAATACACAGCGGCACGGACCCCCAGAGGGGGCCAGGGAGGCCGCAGGTGAAAATCATGGGAGTTGGGGGGCTGCAGCATGAGACCAGGGGGCCAAGAGGTAGGACACGGTAGGGACAAGGAGAAACCATGGCCAGCAGGTTGAGAACCATGTTCTAGACAGCGACGGTGACTGGGAACAGCTAGACCAGAGAGGTCACTCAGGGGAACCCGGTTCGTATCCCTTGAGCGCCCCCCGGGGTGGCCGGTGTGAGAAGAGAGGGCGCATGACTGAGGCTGGCGCCCCGTCATGTGGTGAACGCACGGCCTCAAACTCGGGCTCCCGCATGGCGAGGCTGCTTCTGAACCCTGAGTCGCTCTTGACAGGACCTTCTTTCCTCTCCTCCTGCTGTGTTGGGACCCCCGGCCCTGGGCGTAAGCTCGCGCGCTGCCCATGGCTCCGCCTCCATTCGGCCACTCCCCGGGCTTGCTGCCTCCCTGTCCCCTGTCCTCACTTTGGGGTGTCCCTTCCCAGAGGGAATTCTTACCCCACCCCAACCCCTCTCGTTTTTTTTTGTTTTCTTTTTGCAGCTTTTTTTTTTTTATCTTTGGCCCCACCCAGTGGTGCCCAGGGCTTCCTCCTGGCGCCGCACTCAGGGATCACTCCAGGGAGTGCTCAGGGGACATTTGGGGTGCGGGGATCGACCCCGGGTCAGCCCTGGGCGAGGCAGACACCCTCCCCACTCTGCTCCAGCCCCAGCCCTCCGGGAGCAGCTTGGCTGTGGCCGCCCCTCGTGCGAAGCCGCCTCAGCCTGGGTCGCCTCGGGGTGCGTGCCGCAGAGTGACGCCTGTCCCGGGCCCATAGCAGCATCACACATGTGCCTTTGTCTCAGTTCACTTTGCACCCGTGCTCCCTGCTGTGTCCTTGCATTTGGTGCGATGGCTGACACGGAGGGCTCACCCTTGGCTCTCGCCCCCCCCGCAGGGGTGCTGAGAAGCCACGTGGGGTCGGCTGTGTGACAGCCACGGCCTCTCACTCCCATCGCCTTCCCCCTCCCTCCGCCTGGCACCCAGTGATGTTTTCATAGCTCAACAAGCATATGTGCGGGGTCGGAGCGATAGCGCAGCCCTTTCCTTGCACATAGCCGACCCAAGTTTGATCCCCAACATCCCATATGGTCCCCTCAGGCACTGCCAGGAAAGATCCCTCAGCATAGAGCCAGGAATAAGTCCTGAGCATGGCTGGGTGTGGCACAAAAAAGGGAGAAAAAGCAGATGTGTCTTTGCATTGTGTGTTTTCTTTATCTCTTGGTTTGGGTGTCTCTTGGTTTGAAGTGCTGTGTCTCCTCCTGACGTGTTTCCTTGCGCGTCCATCCTTCTCGGTCCCTCCCGTGTGTCAGAGGCAAGGTTCCCTTCCAGCTCCGTAGCTGAAACGTCGCATCTGGATCCCGGCCTTCTCTGTCCCGTCGGCCGGTGGCTGGGCGCGCAGGTGGATTCTGGCTCTGGCTGTTACGGCCAAGGCAGGAGGCAGCGTTGGGTGGGGGTGACGGGCCGCAGGTGTGGCTACCAGAGCGACCGCGTTTGTCTTTGGGGGACTCCGTACCCAGAGTGGGGTTCTGAGCCACGTGCTAGACTTTCTCTTGGATCTGGGCCGCACGCAGCGGTGCTCAGGGCTCTTGGCTCAGCCCGGACACTGCTGTCCCAGCAGCGCTGACGACCCTGAGCCGCCCCATGCACGTGGCTCCCTATCTGCAACTTCTAGTTTTGCTTTTTTTTTTTTTTTTTTTGCTTTTTGGATCACACCTGGCGATGCACAGGGGGGTTACTCCTGGCTCTGCACTCAGGAATTATCCCTGGCGGTGCTCAGGGGACCATATAGGATGCTGGGAATCAAACCCGGGTCGGCCGCGTGCAAGGCAAATGCCCTACTCGCTGTGCTATCGCTCTAGCGCTAGTTTTGCTTTTTCTGTTGTTGCTGACGATGCTCAGGGATTGTGCAGGGTTGTCCTGGTAGTGACCCCATGTGGCCCCCCGACACTGTCAGCACTGGTCCTGGTTCTGCGAACCTGGCGTGCACCCCTGAGGTCAGCCAGGGTCAGCTCCGTGCATCCTCGGGGCCTGCCCTGCCCGTTCCTGACAGACAGGCTGGAGACCTGGGGGAGGGTCTGCTTGCCTTGGGGGCCACACCTGCTGGTGCTCAGGGGATCCTCTGCTCAGGTGAACCCCTTGCCGGCGCCCCTGCCCAGCCCCACAGTCCCGAGATGGTGCGGGGACCGATCGCGTGCTGCGCGAGGACTTGGGGGTGGTTTTCTGTTGCCTCCCTCCTTTTGAGGAGCGTCTGTGTGAAGCCTTCTGAGAGGCTTGCTCCGCTAGGTCGGGTGTGCGGCCTCCGCCCACCTTGTCTTCCTGTCACTGAGGGCCGTTGTAGACATTAATTACTCACTCTGGGGATGAGTCCGACGGTGTGTGGGGCGGGGAGTGAGCCTGGGGTAGTGGGGGACAGACCCACAGAGAAGGTGGCGGCGCCCCGAGTCCCCGTCTGTCCCGAGGGGACCCGCCTACTGCAGCCCCTGCCGCACCCCTTCCTTCCCGGGCGCTGGGATGACCCCAGGCTCTGGTTTCGATGGGGAGGGCAGGGCCGCTGACTCTGTCTCCCCGCAGGTGACCAACATCAAGAAGACGCTGAAAGCCACAGCGTCGTCCTCGGCGCAGGAGATGGAGCAGCTGGCGGAGCGCGAGTGCCCCCCGCACGCCGAGCAGAGGCAGCCCACCAAGAAGATGTCCAAAGTGAAAGGTCTGGTGTCCAGCCGCCACTAGGGCCGGCACGGGCAGCTGGCGCTCAGCGGGCAGCGGCCGGGTGGGGCGGGGCCCAGGGCACGTCCCTCGGCCCCCCTCTGCGCCGCCGGGGAGCGCCAGGCCTGCCCGGCCCCTCCCAGCGCCTCGCCCTGTTGGTACTGTTCCAGAAGAACCGTTAGCCCCCCGCTCCCCATTGTCCTTCAGACTCAGGGGCTCCGCCGATGACCCCAGCAGGGCCAGACACTGCCCAGCGTCCCTCCAGGAGCTCCTGGCCCGGCCCCGGGCCGGGCCCCCTCCCGGTGTTTCTTTTGCTCATGTCATTTGGTTAGGCTGGTCACGAGCCACTCGGACCGACGGCCACAGAGGTCCTGCCCCGGCGGGAGGGGCCCGCGCCCCTCTGCGCCCCACACTCACCGCGCGGCACCCCCACCTGCCCTTTCCTGCCTTACCTGTCGGCAGCTCTGAGCGCGCCGTGGGCACCGAGGGACACCACGCTGGCCTTGTTTACGACTCCCGCGACCCCCCTCCGGCTGCCGGCACCGCGGGGCAGCCCTGCCGGCTTGGTGGTCCTGCTCTCGGCCGCGCTTTCTGCCACGCGCTCTGCCCGCACGGCCCCCCCGAATCTCTGTCCTGCGGCTGCGCCCACGGCGAGGACGGCGCCCACTGCTGCCTCGGCTCGCCACCTCCCGCCCACGCCCCGAGCTGACAACGCAGCGTCCCAGCAAGAGGAAAGGACCTGACTAGCTTTTCTGGACTTGAACAGTTTCAGGTTATATTTGATTTTTTTTTGTACAGGTTCTGATTCTAATACATTTCCACATGCCTTTTCCCCCTTTGTGTCAATATTTGTTATCGGCGAGTCGCCGGCGCGTGTGTGTTGGGAAGGGGGTTGGTGGGGGGGTTCCTTTTGTTGTTCACTGGTGAGGTGGAGGGCCTGGACTGCTAATAAAGGCCTTGGAGGGGGTAAAGCACATTTTAGAACACAAAATAAAAGTGTCGCTGTGCCGTATGTGACTGTGCAGTGCGGGCGTGCAGCGGGCGGACCGGGCGGCGGGCGGTGAGGCCTCCCGCGTGCAAGGTCCCGCGGGCGAACAGGGTCCACGCCGGCACCTTTTCTCGCTTGTTCTTTCCGTGTGGTTTTGGTTTGGGGGTCACACCGGCAATGGACGGGGATGACACCTGGCGGGGCGTGGGGGGGTCGGCCGCGTGCAGGGCCAGCCCCCTCCCCGCTGTTCTGTCGCTCAGTCCCTTTCTGTGCTGCTGCATCAAAAGCCCACTTGCCTGGCAGGCGGCTGACCCGGCTCAGTCCTCAGCACCGAGCACTGGCAGGAGTGCTCCCTGAGCACAGAGCCAGGAGTCAGCCTGGAGCAGCGCTGGTATGTCCGGGAAGCCAACACAAACCAGGGCTTCACACACATGAGGCAAGTGCCCTGAGCTCACGTGGCTCTGTGCTGCCACGCCTGCGGGAGAGCTGTCACAGCTCGTTCCCGAGCGTCTCATGACGGTAGGTGCTTCCCTAGGCGTGGGCGCCCGTCTCGCGTCTCTGTGGTGCTGGTGGGGCCACCCCCAGACCCTACCCCAAGTCCTTTCTGTGCCTAGCGGGAATCTCGTTTGGGGGATGTTTCTCAGAAGTCCTTCTGGCCTGACTGGTGTCCCCGTCTTTCTGGACCCCAGTAGGCTTTGCTGGGGGTGAGACACCAGGGACATGATCCGGACAGCACCTCGGTGGGCCTTACCGGGCTGCCTGGCACCATGGCTCCCGATGGCAGGTCCGACCCGGGACAGGGTCCTCGGCCTCCCCCATGGAGTCCCCCTAGAGGTGAAGGCTGGGCAGACCTTCCCCTTTACCACGAGCAAACAGCCGTCGCTTCTGGCACACTGAGGGTGGAGGGTGGGGGGCCTGGCCCTTGCTGTCTCCGTTCCAGGACTGTCTGTGCTCCAGGCGGCATCGGAGACCCCCAGCACAACACCCCTCTGCGTCCCACAGCCACCGACCTCTGTCTTACAAGACAGCCTGTGTGCTCACAGTTCCCTGCCTGTCTAGCTGGGGGCACTAGGATGCCTCAGTTTCCTCATGTTGGCAGGTACAGCCTTCTCCGGCAGCTCATCCGGCACTTGCTCTTCCAAAGATCCCCGTGGGAAAGGGCCTGGAAGGTGCCCCTGTTCCTCAGAGCCTGTGAAGTGGGGTGGGGCCTCACTCTCCAGCCTGGCTCCCTCGTGCTGGCCAGTCTTCCTGCAGTGCAGTGTCTAAGCCATGCCCGACACAGTTGCATTTGTTCACGCATACGGTCACTCATTCATTCATTCATTCATTCATTCCCAGGTGCCTGCAAAGTGTCCCTCTCTTCAGGAGCGCCAGGCTTCACGGAGCTTCGGTGCGACTGAGGAGAGAGACAATAAACAGTGAAAAGTGGGCGATACAAGGCTGTGACTGGGGCGAGAGGGTGGGAGGAGGGTTGCTGGGGCCTGAGCGACAGTACAGCCAGCAGGTGCTTGCCTTGCACATGGCCGACCAGGTTGGGTCCCTGGCATCCTATATGGCTCCCTAAGTACTGCCTGGAGTAACCCGTGAGAGTTGCCGGGTGTGACCCAAAAAAACACAAAATGGAAGGATTTCCAGCATGAAGACAGCCCGTCGGGAATGACTTGGAATGCAGGCCTGGTTCTAGGGGTTTTAAGGAGCAGATTTACTGTGGGACAGGGTTGGCAGGGAACAGGGACTCGGGGCAGCTTCACTCTTGGGACTGTAGTGCTGCTGTTTACTTGGAAGCCCACAGTTTAGGGTGTGTCTGGGCCCACAGTCCAGGATAACTGGCCTTCAGACTCACCGCATTAGCGCCCGGGCCTTGCTTTGGGGGCCATGTGGAGCTTCTGGGCACCAGGGAACTGGGACTAGGCCCAGGGCAGAGCCTCAGCCACGTGCCCCTTGTTTTACAGTTTGGTGCCGATGGGGTGATTTGGCCAGTGTGGACCCTGGCCACTGTGCTTCCCAAAGCCCCCTCCCCCACCCAGTACCTTCCTGTAACCCGAGTCTGGGACCAGCTTGAGAGCACGTGAGAAAGCCCACTGCAGGGTCTGTCCCCAAGCTCCCTTAGAACAGCCCCCACGAGCCACAGGCTGTGGGCCACGCAGAGGCTGCTGCTGTCCGCGCACTCCCCGGCTGCCACAGGCAGAGTACGGTTCTGTCTCGAGATGAATGCTTGGTTGGCTTCTGGAGAGCAAGCAGGGCTGAGAACGGGAAAGGGATTTTGTTTGGGGGCCATTTCTGGCAGTGCCCAGAGGCTGCTCTGAGCTTGGGGTCATTCCTGGTGGTGGCTGGGGCGGGGGGGGGGGGGGTGCGTACAGCGCCAGGTGTGGAACTAAGCCCCCTGCATGCCAAGGACATTCTCAGGCCATCAGTGCCCTCAGGGGCCCTGGACAGGTGCTTGTGTTTCTTCTAGTTGTTTGCTAATCTCTTTTGGAATAATTTCTGGGGATAATGTGTTTGGGATTCATAGTTGTTAGAATTTTTTTGTTTGTTTGTTTGGTTTTGGGGCCACACCTGGTGGTGCTCAGGGGCTAGTCCTGGCTCTGCACTCAGGATTGCTCCTGGCGGGCTTGAGAGACCCTATGGGATGCCTGGGATCGAACCGGTGTGCAAGGCAACACTGTACTATCGCCCCGGTGTTGTTGGAATTTTAAGGGCATTGGAACCTGGAGCCAAAGGACTCCCCCAGAGTGTCTTGCTGATTTTCACCTACCCCAGACCTTCACAGCGGGGCATGGGGTGCCCGGACCTGAGTTGGGCCTGCGCAGAGTGGGAGCCTGCGATGCGCTGTGTCTCCACAGCCTGGACAGCAGGGGGCGCTGCATCCCCTTGTATTCTCACCCCTCTGGTTGCGGAGGAACGGGCCCTTCTCATGCTTGTTTAATCGCCGGGAGGCGAGCATTTTCACGTGCTGTTTTATTCCCTTGCATTTCTTTTGTGAATTTCTTCACATTTCTTGCATTTCCCTTTGGGGTGGTTGCTTTTATTTTTCCCCAGTGGATTTCTACGTGCTACCTGGAAACCACCAGCAGAGGGCAGCAGTGCATCAGGGACGGGCCTCCAACCTGCTACTAAGTTTCTACTAGGTTTCCCACCAAGGTAGAATCTTCCCGGGGGCCCTTTGGCATCAGTGGCTTGCAGGGGCTTGAGTGGGAGCCTTAGAACACAGACATGTATTTCGTTTTCTTCCCAGACTGAGAAGATGTTTGAGAGTCTAGAACAGATCTCTTGGACAAGTTGTGGCAGCAGGCCCCAGGGAAGGGAGGGAGCAAGCAGGCTGAGGTGTGCTGACCTGCGGAGCCTAGACCCCTGCAGGCCTGCTTCTCTGGGCATTCCTGGGAGCAACCCCCAAACACTGTGCTGGGAGTAGCCCAGAACAGTAACACAAGGGCAGGACCCAGGCAAGTAGCTTCTGAATTCTGATAGCCACCAGAGGGAGTGTCAGGAAGTCCCTGGCGCTCTCTCCAGTTCTCTAGGTCAGTGACAAGGTTCCTTCTGATTGGACAGGTCAGCGGGTCACATGCCTGCCCCCCCCAGCCAATCGTGATCAACAGCCTGGAATAAAAATCACAGGTCTGAGCCCAACCTCCCGGTCCTCCGAGGTAGCCTTCTGGGATGGGCTCTTTCTTGGCTTAATCTGATGGAGGTGGATAGAGGTGGCGCTGTCGGGCCTGGCCGAGAGGGATCCGCTGAGAAACGTGAGGAGGGTCCAGAGGGAGAAAGAATAGATTCTGCATGGGAAACCCCAGCTGGTCACTCCTTTCCACTTGGTCGAATCATCTGTGTGGGATGATCCGGTGTCGAGTTAGGGCCACGGGAGAGATGCTGCCGGAAGCTTCTACCCAGGATGACACCATTTAACATGTGTCAAGGTTTAGAGTCTTTCAGGGCCACATCCAGTGATGCTCAGCGGTCATCCTCCCTCCTCACTCAGCATCCTGACGGTGCTCAAGGACCATCTGGGATGCTGGGGATCAAACCAGGTCCCCCGCACGTAAGGCAGGTGCCTCCTGGCTGTGCTGTGACTTTTGTAAAGTGTGACCTTTGGTGCCTTGTCAGCATCCCCGACTCTCCTCTCTGTTACCTGTTGGCGACTCCAGGCTTGATGGAGCATTTATTTATTTATTTTTGCTTTTTGGGTCACACCCGGTGATGCACAGGGGTTCCTTCGGGC